ATGTTCTCAACCTCCGGTGCACTGTTTGCAGAAAAGAAATGCGCATCAGCCCTTTGTACTGATAAAACGTTTCTTAACAAACAAAATCACATAATGATCAGAAACAGTATTCTGGACATGAGTTATAATATAAACACTCTAAACACGCAACGCACTGCAGCGAAACGTTGGTTATCATGTGAGGAACAGGCGTAATCGTTACGATAACTTTTTCAAAGTGTAACTGCCCCATGTCACAATTACACGTATGCAGGAGCGAATTGACTAACTGTTACCGACAAATCGGTCTTGGAACCTGAGCAACTCCTAGTGCAGCCGGGCAATCCAAAAGTCAAAGCCGGAAGAGCTAAGGTGCTATTTACAAATGGTTAGATAACAGAGCAAGAACAACGAACATTTCTGCGGAAAATTCTGAGTTCAGTATATCTCGTGTATTCTCATCAGTCGCTTACGTACAATGGGTGAAAAGTTCAAACGACAACAATTTAACAACAGACCTGAAACAATTTCCAGACCAAATGTGTACAATAATTCGGCTCTCAAATGCAACCTGCCGCCCAGAGCAATGGTCAACAGAGAAGCACAAGGAAGTGAAACGGTTCTAATGTCAGTGTGGTTTAAAGCGAAGTGATCAATCTTCAATCGATCAGCTAACGATCAGTGCATATGGAACGCGGGCGTGATGAGCGCGTCTAGCCTACAATGGCATGTGTCCTGGACGAGAGTAAGTGTGAATGTCTGGATGAGAGTCCGGCCAGGGAAACAAAGTAGGACGGGACCAATACAGACTAATGAAGCTGAGTGTGTAACTAGGTCGTATAACACGCACAAGGAGTAAGACAGAAGGTGGGAGTAGCAAGCTTACCCACTGAGCGATGCAAAACGGGTAAACTCTTGTGGTTAATCCAGGGCCAAATATGAACGAGAAACAAAGGAACTGAAGTTTTATCATGCAAAGTGCAATAAGCAATCAAGGAGTCGTTTTGGGGTCAATCAATAGGGGAAATCTCCAGGTAGATTGAACGAGTTAATTTGTCCGTTACACTAACAGACCCATATAAACATATATCCCGGTAACTAAACAGCAAACCTGACATGCGCCAGTTGCGAGTCAGAAACAGGCGTGACAGAACAACATCACCGAATTTAGTGGCACTTCGACCTGCACAAGTATCAACAATGAGTAGGATTTTTGATAAGATTTTACTGATTCGTCTTAGGCACTCACAAGCCAGATGGTCTAACTGCCAATCCGGAAAAGCAGACAACCGTTTAGCCTACTGGAGATCCTCAGTTGAAGAGAAATTCACTTTTGTTAGAATACTTAGGTATTGTGCACGAGTATGAATCGAATGATGAGAGAAGACACAGGAACGTGTGCAGAGTGCACGTTTCACCGGCACACCGTACCGACGTTTCGCTGTCACGCGACTACCACCGGTTGTACATGGGCTGGTCGCCCGTATCTATGCGGAACCGAACCAGTGACCTCCGGATTACAAGGTAAGCACGAAAATCTTTCGGCCATTGTCCGACTAAGTTTCAACTGTACGATTGTGAAACCAAGCGAGGAGGCTGAAACATGCGCTGTCTTCTTCCTTACTGCCGACATTAAGCTAGGTACTTAACTTCTAAATCGACTTATTGATTGAAGCAACAACATGGTATCGATCCGAGTAGTAACCGTAACTGTAGGCGAATGACGAAACAAAGGGGTCGAATACCGGTGGAAAGCCCAACCGCAGCTATCTGCTGGCGTGGTCAGAGATGCCCGACAATGAAACGAATTAACGACGGTTAACTGTCTGACTGTTCGCCAAGTAAGGACAAATCATCACGTGCAGTTATGCCCAAGCAAAAAACGTTTGTGCTGCCAAAGCACGGAATACACGATTTCTATTAGCTTTAATTCGTGTAGTCAACTTATTTTCTTACTTGTCGTATATTATTCGACCTATCCAGGCGAAGCAATTTTCTCAACAGATAGGAGGTGATCACCGAGATCAGTTCAAAGGAAACAACAAGCTTAATCCAGAATATTCGCAAACTCACATACAAATACTCACTACGGAGTATCTGATGAAACAGTTAGTGTGAATAGGAGTTCTAGTCCTTGGCATGAATAGTGTAAGATTTTCACTGCAAAGTAACCGAGTGAAATGTTGCAGTTTCAAGGCAGACGAAGGAAAGTAGGTCTTCCAGTGTATTAGATCGTGCAGCAGCATCGATCTATGCTGTAGCAATAAATGAGATCGAGGTATAGTTGCTAGTAACATTCCTGACAGTCTAGCAGTAGGTAATTATTAAACAGATGCCACTCGGAGAACTGCTGAATGTTTCCTAGAGCTTTCTACCACTCATTTACATGTTGTCATAAGTGGTGCGACCGTAGTCAAGGGTGGCGAAGACGGAGGAATTTGAAAACAGACAGCAGACAGTTAGATCCGCACTGTTCACCATTCGATTCGAAATTCAGAAGAAAACCGTATCCAGAGATTGTAAATAACCAACCGTGCACAAATGTGTTTAATGTTTAGTTTAATTAAACCTTCATGTATCGGGCAATCCTAAGAATAGAGTACTTATTGAATTCATCGCTTCGAAACGATCTCAGTTGGGCCGTTGGTGGAGGACATACTGAGGCTGATTGGAGGGTCATTTTGTAATACTTGTTGGACTGGATTGCGGTGTGCAATCACAATGTGGACCGTGATTCACGCTGAAGTAAACTTTCGTCAATTCGATCACCAGGATCGTAATCGATGAAGCACATGGAAATTAAATGGAAATTAGTTGTTGGTTACCGGAAAACTGCACTCCGCCACGCGGTTCCATTTTATTTTATCTCATCAGGTATAGAGTGGGAATAGCGAAAGACCAAATAGGCATGCTCGGATGACAACATTATTAAATGGACGCGATGAGTGACTGGTCGTTCAGAGTAACTGCCTGAGTAGGACAGCGAATCCTCGACTCTACCCTCTTTTCAGTGGCCCTTTGTAAGGCACAAACTTGTATTATCCTTGCGTATCTATGAAGTAGTCCATAACTTAACAAGCAGAACCAGTGGATTTGATAGTGCAGTTTAAAGTATGGGTTGGCAGTCGAAATGGGGTAATCCAGCTGCCATGGAATGTGTGAAAGAGGGATAACAAGGCAAAAATCCGCTGGGAAGAGGATTGTTGAAGAAAAGGTGGACAAGCAGATAGGACCAGTGCAGAAGTGCAGCGAATCAATCCTTCGCTGATATGCAACCAACCGCAAGCGGTTGAGCGCTAGTTGGGGTACAGCAAGGAAAGCGAAAGCCATGTATTTGCAGGTAAACTAATCTGGGACGCAAAGCTTGAAATCCAAACGCATGAAACACTATATCATGGATCCTCAAATGAAGAAAAGTACGTAAAATAGTCTAACAAAAAGGGTAGCAGTAGAAAGCAACAGCTTGGATTCAAAAGTGCACCTAACCTCAATACTCAACCCAGTCGTACAAGGTCGCTAATCGCTGAGTTGGAAGATCCCTAAGCTTAATTCATGAAAAACATGAGCAATAGCTCAACATAATCTTTCATTCATGGCATCGCACATTGAAATCGACTAGCCAAACCGGAGCTTCAACCAGTTGGAGATAGTCATCTTTTAACCAGTCATGGCTACAATTTGTGGGTGCGTAGAGAACGATGACGGACAGACACCAATTAGACCCGGCGACTTTGAAGCTTTGAACAAGCCAGCCAGTCGGACCGCATCCATCCTCATACAGATTGGGATCTAATCAACCAGAACAGCTAAGGTCCGACGACTCAGGGCATTGCCAACACCGACTTGGAGAGTATTCGAAGTTGCATCGTCTCCAGATAGCCGCAGTGAGAAAGCACTACTGGTGTCAACCGAAAAGTATCGCAAAGCGAGCACAGAGTTCGAGTCTTGCAGGCGGGTTTCCGATATGTAGCACATATTGATCGAGAGGGACTCTAATGTTCGGGCAAATGTTGTCTGTTGACCGACTTGTGACAATGCGCGTATGTTGAAGCATGCCAATCTGAAGAAGGATCGATGGTTCCAAATAGAAGCCGATGTACTGGGTTCGACCGCTTGGTTGGACATGGGCGAGGCGACGGAATTGGAGCGACGCGCCACGTTTGCATGTGAGTTGAAACTAAAAGATAAACGTCTATCAAAGTAAGGTGGAGGCCAAGAATTGGGGTTTAAAACAGGTGGAATAAAAGTGAAATTGGAACGGGATGATAAGGGTGAAAAAGCGTAAGATGGGAAGACTTGAGCGGTAGCATCCAAACCCCTTTCCACCCTGTTCGATGCAGCAGATAAGGCGCCGTTTATTATCCTCTTCGATGGCCAGAGCATCAAGAAATTGTTTGCGGAATGATTGATAGCATTGCGTGAGCAGGATACTGTCAGGTTGTCCGGGCCTAGACAGGAGAACAATTAGTATTCTCAATCGAAGCCTTTGCTTCAAAAGACATGACCGCAAAGCAGTACAGTTGGCGGTGGCCTACAAGGAGCCCGTTTTAAGAAATAAGGAGCCATTCTCACTCCAACTCCCAACCTGGAGGACCACGTGGCTGAGTTTGTCTGGCCTCTAACATTTGACCAATCTGGCATAATTGACTTTGAAGATACGGAAAGTACCACTCAGCACAGTTCGATGGATCAATGAGGCACGCAAACCATCGCACCACGGCAAGGTCAAGGCTCACTGCGATGGCTAGGCAAATAGAGTGATCAATGAAGGTGATGGCCAGTTAATCACATATGACGAAACATAGCTGAGGTCCCGACTATTGTGACGTCATAGTAAGAAAGCGGCGGATACCAGGTATCGCAGAAATCGATATGCCAGAGAGCACACACACACATGCGCCAGCCCGAAACAGCAGGAGTGACCAAAGGCCACCGGAGATACGACCAAAACAGTGATCCACAAGAATTTGGGGATGTAGGAAAGAATTTTTAAGAAAACAGTAAACGTGTTTTTGACTCACGAGGACAACTGCGCACGACAGTTGCGAAGCAGCAGAACGCAAAGGAGAGGAGGTAAATGGTAGTAACTGACTGCGCAACTGGAGATGGAGGGGCAAAGTGGGACGACTACTGAAAGATAGGAGCAAAGAGGGATTTGTTATAGTGGAGAGCACATCAACACATGGTAGAAAAACAAATTACCAAACATCAGGAATGGATGAGTGGTAGGGACTAAATGCTCCGCTACAGATGCCCGATTAACTGGACATATGACTAAGGAACAAGATTCATGAGTGAGAAAATTTAGTTTGAACTGGCATAGTGATCAATAGCTGCCGATAGGTTTAGTGGCAAGCGCCCTGAACCCGGGACGCCAACTTAGGCATCCCAGCGCTTGTCGAACGCTAACAGGTGTCTTAACTTGATCATTGTCTGACAATTCTTCCTTTGTTTAGGGTGATTGGCAAAGCGGTGTAACCAGTACCACACACAATTCAAGTGCGAGAGTAATGCACAAAATTGGAACGGTAAAGCAGAACCAGAAACGACTAGTGAAAATTACCTGAACATATGCTCCATCCCGTGGAAGGAGTTTTCAACTTCTCCGTTCGGCGTTTGTATCACATCCCCGACCTTCGTCCAGCTGTTGCCGAACTCGGCCACCTACTGTTGTGACTTCGCAGTTGCATGCACTTTCAGTGAGTGGTTTACATTAAGCTAAGTAAAGTGAGAGCTGATGCTCCTCTCCCCCAATGAAGACAAACGTAGAGAATCCATTGATTTAGTGAATTAAGTTGAACTAGTTAGGACTAACGCGGTACCGCAATTTGTACCGAATGACTATATAAGCGATGTACGTCTGCGAGTAGTGTTCAAGAAGTAAAAGGAGAAATAACCGATGTGTTAATAAGCCCCAGAGATGATAAGGTTACATGCCCACGGGTTCTCACCACGCCGTTCGCAGGTTATCAAACCTGACGCGGTGGCTGAGGCGGGGCCTACTGGTTCGTCTGAAGAATAGCTAGAGAGAACATAAAGAAAATCAGTGGAAAATTAGGAATAGACCCCTCGGTTTGAGCAGAATAGATAGGTCAACAGACCGTGAGAACAAAGTAACAAGGTAATGTTCCTTAGGACGGAAATATTCTGTGTTGCTGAAAAGCTGTGACGCTGAGGAGGGCATTTCGAAAGTCAGATGGCCGTACCAATGTAGTAGGTACGATGGGAACAGTGCTGGACAAATGCAAGATAGAGTAACAAAACGGAAGCAGCCAATGCTTTTGCAAAGACTAACATCTGAAAGACAGTCGGGGAATCTGATTGAAAATAAATAAAAGATGTGAGCGACTGCGGAGCTAGTTCCATGGAGAGGAAAGATAAAATATTGAGTTCCTGGATGAAAGAGCAAGTGCCTAAGTAGGTTCAACGCTCGACCACGAAGAAAACTGGCCTAATACAACCTGCTTGTCCGCGTAGGCCACCGGCCCCCTCGATCGGCAGACAATTATTGACCACAGGTCACCGAATCGAGATTACATTGGCGTTCACGATCCTATCACATCACACCAATTCTTGCCTCCTCCGATTCGCTGAGGTGGTTGCAATTGACTTGAGTAAGCCAATGCTGTGTTTAAAACAACTTGGAGATAGGAATAATAACTCTGTCTCACACATCGTCTATTGGTCTGTTTGGATGCATGTAAGCCTGGTCGTATCCTGCGCTGAATAAAGACTATTGCGAGCCATTATTTGTAGCAGTCTGGAGATTCCCCGGTTTGCCTGTATAAAATTCCAACTAAAATTATTTCATTGTACACCTAGACAACCGGTGTGGTTTGTTGAACTGATTGCTGATTTCAAATGCTTGACGTGCTCATCGCCATTTTTGCTTGGCGCTCGTTTCGGTTGCAACTCGCGACTGACTTGTGTGCTGTGCATGCTCCGTTCCCCTAGCTAGAGCGTCCACAGTGTCGTTCCTTTATAGCTAGATAACAGGGAATTTTTTACTGTACCAAGAAAAGTTTCCCTGCAACTCGATCCGTCTTTTCGAATCGCTCCGGGCTCCTGGTACAGGCGACTCTATAAACTGGTGACCCCGACTCCGGAAGAATAGCAGCGCCGGATATCTCGAACTTTTCTCCGGTGAACTCGTTCCATTTCTTTTTCCATATTTTGCGGTTTATTTTTACATACAGTAGCCTACTTTTTGCGTCATTTTTTAAGCCATGGAATCTGTAGTCCATAAGGTAGAGTCTCTGATAAGCGTTGTATCTCTCTCAGTGCCACCTTTTTGGGACATGGATCCTCTTTTGTGGTTCGCTCATCTTGAGGCTGAGTTTTATAACCACAGAATCACTTCCGACTATGCGAAGTATTGCAAGCTCCTGTCCTATCTCCCCAAGGAGATATCAATGCAGGTTCGTGACGTTATCATTTCGCAGACCGAAAACCGCTATGAGGCTCTCAAGGAGGCCACGACCAAGCGTGTTATGCCCTCTGAGAAAGTTCGCCTGCAACAGCTTTTCAGGGATATGCAGCTGAGCGACAAACTGCCCTCAACCTTGCTACGAGAGATACAGCAAATTCTTGGTTCCTCAACCATAGACGAGATGTTACTTCGCGAACTATGGCTACAGCGGCTACCGGAAAACAAGCAAGCGATTCTCGCTACAGTGAGCTCCGTTTCGCTCACTCAACTAGCAGATTTAGCGGATCGAGTTATTGAAGGATCATAGCCACAAGCCAACGCCAGCAAGATCAATGCCGTCGCGTCCCAGGGCACTTCTATCACTGGCTTACAGTCAACTATAGAAGCCCTCCAAACAAGTTGCGACACTTAGTCGCCAGGCTCAACAGCTTACTATGAACTGTCGTCGTCATAGCCGATCAAAATCGCCCTTTAAACGTTCTAAGTCTAGCAACAGGCAGGTTAGCTGTTGGTACCATCAACGTTCTGGTACCGCAGCTCGTAAATGTGTTAAACCTTGCAACTTCGCCGAGAAGCAGAGAAACGTCTCGGCCGGTCCGTAAGAGCGACGGACGTGACCGGCCAACACCAAAGTCGCCTCATCCGCGTCAGGGATTTAACTTTCGGCACGGAGTTTCTAGTTGACACTGGTGCCGAAGTTAGCGTTATACCCCGTGGCCCAGATGAGGTCGTCTCACCATGGCCGACCGAGCTGCGCGCGGCCAATGGCACACCAATCACAACTTTCGACGAAGACCTGATAACACTCAATTTAGGCCTCCGGCGAACTTTTCGCTGGCCTTTCATAATCGCTGCCGTGCCTTTCGCCATCAAAGGCATAGAATTTCTGCAACGCTTCGACCTCATCGTCGACGCTAAAAGGAAGAAGCTTATCGACTCTAGGACACAGCTCAGTGTTATCGGGACTAGCGCCAATGTGGCTGCTATCACTCCCATTCGAGTCCTACCTCAAGCTTCAATACCTTTCATAGAACTTTTCAACAAGCATCTTAAACTCGTTCGCATCCTGAACGACTTGCCTCCTGTGACGTCAAACGTCACGCATCACATCTGCACTAAGGGTCCACCTGTTTCGGCCCGTTCTCGCAGACTAGCCCCGGACAAGTCTGAAGCTACTAAGGCGGAATTCGAGCAAATGCTCGAACTGGGAATCATCCGCCAGTCCAAAAGTCCATGGGCATCACCAATACACATGGTACCGAAGAAATCCGGTGACTGGCGACCCTGTGGTGACTACAGGGCACTTAACAAAGTTACCGTCCCGGATAAATACCCCATTCCGCACATGCACGACTTGACCTCAGCTCTAGCTGGCAAGTCTATCTTTAGCAAAGTCGACTTAGTTCGCGCCTACCATCAGATACCTGTCGCGCCAGACGACATTGCTAAAACAGCAGTCATCACGCCATTCGGCCTATTCGAGTTCCTCAGAATGCCTTTCGGCCTCAGTAACGCTGTCCAACTTTTTAACGTTTCATTCATGAGGTAATGCGAGGACTCGAAGGCGTTTATCCTTATCTAGATGACATTCTCATCGCAAGCTCTTCTGATGATGAACATCTTCATCACCTCGACGCTCTCTTCCAACGCTTGACGAAGCATGGGGTTACCGTCAACCCCGATAAATGCGAGCTTGGCCAAGACTCCGTCGACTTTCTTGGCCACCGCATATCCGCCTCTGGTATTGAAGCTCTGCCTGACAAAATCCAGGCACTGAAGGACTATCCTGCCCTCAGTTCCTTCAAACAGTTACGCCGATTCCTTGGCCTAGCCAACTATTATAGACGCTTTATTCCTAACTGCGCGAGCATTGTTCAACCAATGACTGATTCGCTCCGCGCTAAACAACGGTCTTTTCATTTTGCAGACGATGATAAACTGTCTTTCGAGAAGCTCAAAGACGCTATCTCCAACCTAGCGCTTTGCGCCCATCCAGACACATCTGCACCACTCTCCCTGACGTCTGACGCATCCGGCACCGCCGTCGGTGCAGTTCTTCAACAACTCATCGACCATCGATGGATACCTCTAGGTTTCTTCTCGAAACGTATACAACCTGCCGAATCGCGTTATAGCATCTTCGGTAGGGAACTGTTAGCTATCTACCTAGGTATCAGACATTTTCGTCACTATCTCGAAGGTGGACATTTTACAGTCTTCACTGACCACAAGCCATTGATCTACACAATCAATGGCGCAATAGACAAGTATTCTCCGCGGGAAACTAGACACCTAGACTACGTTTCTCAGTTTACGACAGATGTACGACATGTCTCAGGTGCTCTCAATCCCGTCGCGGATGCGCTTTCACGCATTCAGCAGATCAGCTTGTCGCCTGGCACCAACATTGATCTAGCCGCTATGGCTGCTGCCCAACAACCTGATCCCGACATAGACAAGCTACGACGCAACACCTCGTTGAAACTACGCGAAGTTCCACTAGCTTTATCTGAGGGGACCATTCTTTGTGACGTCTCACAAACATCTCCCCGACCCGTAGTTCCTACTTCGATGCGTCGACTAGTTTTCAACGCTTTACACAACCTGTCTCATCCCGGCATACGTGCTTCGCAGAAGCTCGTAACGGAACGCTTCGTATGGCCCAACGTCAATCGCGATGTCCGCCTTTGGGCACGCGCATGCTTAGAGTGTCAGCGCGACAAGGTATACAGACACACCAAAAGCCCACTTTGCGTCTTTCCCGCTCCTGACTCTCGTTTTGCACACGTCCATGTCGACCTCGTCGGACCTTTGCCTCCATGCAAAGGCTACGTGTACTTCCTCACTTGTGTCGACCGATTCACCCGTTGGCCAGAGACGATTCCGATAGTCAACTGCTCATCTGAGACAGTTGCGCAAGCTTTCCTAGAACGCTGGGTAGCTCAATTCGGTTGCCCAAGCGTAGTCATCACTGACAGAGGATCGCACTTTGACGGATCCTTCAGCAAACTGCTCGACGTTCCTGGTTGCCAACATAACCGAACCACCGCATACTATCCCGCAGCTAATGGGATGGTAGAAAGGTTCCACCGGCAACTCAAAGCACCACTCTGTGCCCAATCTAGCACATCCTGGCACGAAGCACTTCCGCTCGTTCTCTTAGGCATAAGAAACACGATTAAAGCGGATTTGCAAGCCACTCCATCGTCGCTAGTTTTTGGATGCACACAACGCTTACCTGGTGAACTCGTCTCACCAAAAGCGCCGACAACCTTCGACTATGGCGACTACGCAGCTCGCCTATCTCATCACATGCGACAGCTTCAGCCTGTGCAATCCAGAGCACAGAGCTTGCGTACAAACGTGGACGAACGCTTAACTACTTGCACGCATGTGTTCGTTCGCACTGACAGCGTACGCCGACCACTTCAACCTCCCTATTCTGGTCCGTACCGTGTCGTACGCAGAAGCGACAAGACGCTTACCGTTGATTACAATGGTAAAACTGAGACGATCAACGTCGATCGACTCAAGCCAGCATTCCTCGACAAGTCTGACTCTTTGGTGCAGCAAGCAACTTCGCAGCCTGCGCCATCACAGCTCACACCGCAACCTCAAACGAGTCAGTCCGGTCCAGCAGAACCGACAACATCAGCTGACAGCACTCCTACTCGCCCTACTATCAATCGACGAGGTAAGAAGCTCAAACCTCCAGTTCGTTTTTCGCACTTCGTTAGCACTCACTAATTTACATAGAACGTGCCCTTGAAATTTTCAGCTCTTACCAAACGTTTTTGAAAATCCACAAAAAAAACAAAACGTATTGAAACTACCAAAAAAGAGCAAAACCTTTTGAAAACCCAAAAACAGGCTCGCACGTTTTTCGCTTTGCACTCTTTTGTGTATGGCTATGCATTTATGCTACTTTTTCATTTTGCTTCCCATGTATACCGCCGGTTGGCTGCACCTCGGTTTCACTTTCGCTGGATCCCCGCAAGTCCATTGCAAGTGGAACGAACTTCCTGCTCAAGGCATACGTGAACTTTACTAACTGTCCCCCCACAAACAGTCTTTTTACCGTTTCGACACCGTAGGGAGGACACGGGTGGGAGCCTGCTAGGGTCCGATTGCATGGTTCTCCCCCAGCAGCTGCATCAGGTTTCACAATCTGGTCTCGCAGAAGGCTGGCCCGCGACGGACAGTCCTTACGTAGATCGAAGGACTGCTTACACAGTCCCTTCTGGGAGAGGGCTATGTAGCAGTCTGGAGATTCCCCGGTTTGCCTGTGTAAAATTCTAACTAAAAGCATTTCATTGTACACCTAGACAACCGGTGTGGTTTGTTGAACTGATTGCTGATTTCAAATGCTTGACGTGCTCATCGCCATTTTTGCTTGGCGCTCGATTCGGTTGCAACTCGCGACTGCCCTGCGTGCTGTGCCTTCTCCGTTCCCCTAGCTGGAGCGTCCACAGTGCCGTTCCTTAATAGCTAGATAACGGAATCTTTTACCGTACCAATAAAAGTTTTCCTGCAACTTGATCTGTCTTCTCGAATCGCTCTCCGGGCTCCCGGTACAGACGACCCTCTAAATATTAGATGCAATGGTGAAGCGATATGAAATGCGTGCATTTGCCAGTCCATTTTCTTACTGCACTTTTCAAAAGGTGAATTAGTGAACAAGCTAACAGCGCCGAAGCGTCTGCTCAGTCCCGTGACCCACTGCGCTCTTCGAAAAGGTCTCATTTGAAAAAGTGGGAAGATGAGTGGTGGCCATAAGATGATCCAATAGTAGACAAGAAATAAATCTTAAGCTAAAACGTACAAGAAAAGGCAGACAAAGTGATAAAACTGGAATAAGCAGCATGAAATCGTGATAAATTCACTGATAGATTACCTCATTTTGCCACGATCAAAGAGCAATGTGTAGTGAGTCAGGTCGGCAGACGCGCAATAGCTGCGCATGCCTGGCTCATCATATAGGGAACAATTACCGTTGGCAGCGGAGGGAGCAAAAGGGATGGAGGAGCAATCGAACAAAGACTGTCCGGGGGGCGTACGCGGAATTTTATCACGCTTTTCAAATGGATTCATGAATTCGCTGTAGGACAGAACAAGGGGTTATGGTCATCGTCCTCATCAACAGCAGTACATCATCCACCAAAACTAATGCTTCGATGCCGAACAAAAATAACCTAGGGAACCAATAAGAATAAGAGGAGAACCTAGTGTAAAAACGTAATTCCATAAGTAAACATTCAGGGTCAATGTGCCTACATTTCGTCAACATACCATCAGAAAACAGCTGGCTACCATGCGAAGATAAGGCGGTGTAGGCAAGACAGCTTTCTTGCAACTTTCACTGCCTCGCGCCATAATCAGTCATTTCCCCACAGATAACTTAGCACCAAACACACTTAAAACAGGCAATCCGACTAGGAAACAACAGCAGACGTGAGACTGGCGACAAGTGCGAGCCATATCCTGTAACGTCACGAGCCAAGCAGGCACAAGGCAGGTAACGTGGACTCCAGATTGGAAGCCGAGATTGACCAACAGTAACCGGTTTGTAGTCAGTGAACTCATTTCCCGCTGCCAATTTAACTTTTGCCCCCCTCGGACCTTGCGACACCCTATATCTGGCAAACAAAACAACGTCTCCTCGGTAATCGGTGATCGGGCACACGTAGCATGTGCCCAAGCCAACGTAACATATTCAGTGCAATCTGTTGTTCTAAGAAAGTAGCCTGATAATCACCGCCTAATACTCGACTATGTACATAGTTGCGGACACACTGGTTTCATCCGATGCCGGCAATGTTTCGCAGATAAAGATGATCAACGACTTGAAGGCGCCAGAGATCCGAGGGAGCCAAGTCTCACTTCCATAGAGTAGGACGGTCCTCATTGTGGCCTTATAAACAAGGTCTAACAGACCACCGGAAACCATTTTCTGATGCCACAGATGTAGTAGATTCAAGAAAGTAGTTTTGGTCTTTGCAATACCAGAACCGGCTTCACTCGTTATGCGCCAATCGTTGGTGATGTAGTTGTTAAGCCAGACGAAAACAGAAAAACAGCAGTGTAGTAAGATGGTTATTTGTGTAACAACAGCAACATGACGCGCGAGGCACTCAAGGTCATACGAACACAGAATCTAAATTATCAATCTATAATTATGGCAGACGGACGCACGCGGTTAGCGTCCAGTCATGCACATCATTTGGGTTTACTGATCCATTCGTTAGGAGGTGCCTCTCGTAACACCTCCCCGTTTGAAGTCCACTGTCATATGATTTCAGCCTGGGATTAACTTGGAGCGGCGTGACAAAAACTCGGCAACGATCGGGCCATCTTCTGGGTCGACAATCGGGTAAAGGAGAGGTTGTTGGGTTGATAGGCTTATAATGCTGAATAGGCTCTGTTTTTGGTAATTTAACTCGTTCAGAAGTAATGTAGCTCCTGAGTTGATTTATGTGGCGGATCCATCTGTCAACGCCTACCCATAAATGATCTCAACGTCGCTACGTCTTTCGGCGGAGGCATATCCTTGATCACCTTCATGTTTGATGGATTAGGTCTTCGTCCATTTTGGTCAATGATAAAGCCCAGGTATTAAATGGAGGTCATAAGAAACTCACATTTGTCCATTCGTAAGCGAAAAACATACTCCTCTATTCTGTCAAGCACGAGTTTCGTTCGTTGGTTAGTTCTTCCTGGTTAGATCCAAGTATGCAGCGGCATAAGGTATTCGCTGTAGCATCGTATCCATGATCTGTTGAAAGATTGACGGGGCCGACTTAACGCCAAATTGTAGGCGTGTACACTGGAAGAATCCTCTGTGAGTGTTAAGCCGTTAAGCGTAAGCCGCAATGACAACCAAGCACCGTTTGTCCCCGTGCGACTTCGTAGCACGGAACGAACCAGCTAATCTAACGGCGCACATCCTACTGTTTACTGGGATCCAGTCAATCAGGGCAGCTTCAGCCCGGGGACTCAAAACAATGCCGACGCCAGCTTGACCGGCATTTGAAGCTGCATCATCGCCAGACAGGCGCAATGAGAGTGCCGCTAGTGTCGCATGTGGAAGATCTCAGGGTAAGCACGGAGCTCGAATCTTGCAGACGGGTTTCTGATAAACAACAAATATCGATCGATAGGGTCTCTAGTGTGCGGGCAAGTGCTGCCTGTTGGCCAATCTGCAGCAAAGTGCGCACGTTGAGGCATGCCAGGCTTAACGAGACGCGAGGACTCCAAAGGGAAACGGATGAACTGACGTTGTCCGCTTGGTTGAACATGGACTTGTCGACTGGATTGGAGCGAGGCCCTGCGATTGTGTGTGATTTGAAATTAGAGGACAAGCGACTACTAAAGTAAGCTGGGGGAGGGCCAAGAATTGGGGGATTGAAAATGGGGGGGATATAAGTAAAGTTGGAGCGGGGCGATAAGGATGAAGAAGCGCAAGAAGGGGTATAAGAAGACGGGAAGGCCTGAGCAGTAGCATCCATACCCCTATCTACCCTGCTCGATGCAGCAGATAGGGCGCCGTTAATTATCCTCTGCGACGGCCAGAACATCAAGAAATTGTTATAAGAACGGTTTATTGTATTGCGTGGGCAGAATACTGTCAGGTTGCCCAGGCCTAGACAGGAGAACGATCAGGGTTCTCAGCCAAAGCCTTTGGTTCAAAAACCTTACCGCAAGGCAGCGGGTTTTGGCACTGGAATACAGAGCCCGTTTTATGAAATGAGGAGCCACCCCCATTCCAACCCCCAACCTGGAGGACCAGGAGGCTGAGTTTGTCTGGCCTCTAACCATTGACCAATCTGGTATGAGTGGCTCTGAAGGTGCAAAAAAAGCACCACCCAGCGTAGCTCAATGGATCGCTGAGGCACGCAAACCATCGCACCACGGTAAGGTCCAGCCGCATTGCGCGGGTATTTGGTACCGACTGATCGCTACCATACAGCCACCATAAGTTGCATGCGAGTTGGGATATTGTGAATTCGCGTGGACCTACGTAGGTTAGAAATAGTGACCTCTTGAGTACAGACACTACCTGGCCCCTTAGATCTGAAGAGGCCAGTTACATTCGACCACCGGTACCTTCGCAATTTGGCTCACATCTGGTGGGAACACCGCGTGAGCAACGACCGTGTTCGACGCCTTGTTTACGGCACAGGAAGAGGAAATGAACCGCTCAGCACCGTTATTTCATGCACCAGGCTTCGACGGCTCGGCCACATGTTAGGCATGCCAGCCCACCGACTCCCGCGACGTGCGTTGTTTGCGCGCCAGGAGTGTGGATGGAAGAGGAGTGGCCAAGCGATGACTTGATCCAGAGGAATGAAGGCACTCACTTCTGAGCTGGCCTCGGCTGGAGCGTCTCAGCTCCCTGGTTGGGTTCCGCAAGCCGATGAACATGTTTGGCTGGATACACTTGCTGATATGGCTAGGAGCCGACCTCAGTGGCGTTCGTGCTGTGAGTTTCTTTGTCTCACCCCATCCCTCTTAGCCTTCCCCTCCAACCACGATCTCATTATTTAGACTTATATAATTTTGCATAGTAATTTTTTTGATGTACGGTAGCCGGCGGATAGCTTACCAGAACGATGCCCATCCGTTACCGGTAGCTCAGCCGGCTTGCACCAGTTGCATACTTCTTTCTCCTTTTTTCCATGTATTGCGGCACAGTTAGCTGAGGTGTTTCCCAACTCTAGCTAACGTCTATGATGATACTGATACTGATTAGAAGCAGCGAGTAGAACATACTCTGTGTAGCTGCATCAGTCGTCGCTCTTGGGCATTAAGGTATTAATTATCGTTTCGCTCTTTATATTCCGCCTCTGCGAAGTGTTTGTCTAGAAGCTTCTTAAATTCGGCCACTGAATTCGCCTCTATTACTGGCTGCGGCAGTTTGTTCCAGGTATTCACCACTCTACGTTCGAAACAGAGTTGGTGAGCGACCCGTTTCAACTGCGGTACGATAAGTTTGTACCGGTGTCCTCGCGTGCTGCTTGGTGTACGCAGATGAAGCAGTTGTCTCAACATGGGGTAATCACTCAGATGTAATATCCGGTGCGTCATGATCAGGTCAACCCTCAGCCGACGATATGCTAGGGTGTAGTCCTAGTTTCTTACATCGGTCTTCATATGGCATACCTCGTAAGTTGGGAATCAGCCTAGTGGCTACATGCTGCACCCGCTCAAGCTTTTCTATTTCGCCCCGGGTGATGGGACAGTATGCGGGAGTGCCGTACTCCAGCATTGGTCGTATTATCGAGACGAAGAGGCGAGAAGCAATCTCTTCGGACCAAGTGCTAAAGCTGCGCCTGAGAGCCCAAAGCATACGAAGGCTGTTTTGGTACAGCCTATTCGTGTTGTCAATGGACTTTAGGTCGCAGCGTGAGAGTACACCGAGGTCGCGCACGAAAGGAGCGGGATGCAACGGTTGTCCAGCCACTGTGTACGTTCGGCCGTGATCATACTTACCCAACCTCATGAATTGCGACTTAGCAGGGTTGATCGGAAGGTTAACATCTGTAGACCATGTTGAGAGGCTGTCGAGATCCTGCTGAAGTAAATCACAATCATTGAGTGTGCGGATTAGTCTCCACACCTTCAAGTCATCTGCGAACAACGCACATGGTGATTGGAGTAGCTTAGGCACATCGTTTATATGGATGAGAAACAATATCGGCCCCAGTACAGTGCCTTGGGGAACGCCGCTGCTCGATGGATACCAGTCCGTTAGATGGTTGTCCACCTGGACTCTCCACTTCCGATCCACAAGGAAACTTCTGATCCATTTGTGTAGCGAACCTGCAATGATGATGATGATGAGTACAGACACTTGAACCAGTCTGTCACCTGTCGGTTATAAAGCCAGGATAATGCGTTCCAGCTTCACAAATGCGATTGCATAGTACACTACAAAACTTGCCACCAATAGGGGAAAACCATTGAAGGTACCCACGGGCCTAAAAATAAGTAACGATTTACCGTTGTGGTGCGATGTAGAATGAGAGAATAGAAGACAGGGAGAAAATTAGCCGGTAGTAAATGCGTGGCCGAGTCAAATTGATAGAGTAGAAAAAGGAGCTTCAGATGCACCTATCAACATCATGTAGGCAAAGGAATATGGTAATAACTGAGCGACGAGGAAATCGAGGTGTAAGCGAGTGATAAAATTACAAAGCACTTTTCCTTCGGCAGTTCCCATATGCGTCTGGTGCGTGCGAAAGATAACCGAGCAAATAGAACATGGCGTGTAAAATCGCGATACG